TGTGATCTTTAAAATATTAATATTTATAAATATGTATAGATATTTGTAATCTTTAAAATATCAATATTTGTAAATATTTAAGATTTTACTTTAAATATTATCATTTTACCAAAAATTAAAAATAATGTTTCTATGTATATAAAAATTATATTATAAGTAATTCAAAAATATAAATCTCAAATAAAAAGAAATAAGATATAATATTTAAAAATAGAAATATAATAATAAATATAATAATAAAAATAAATATATAATATAAAAATAGAAATATTTATAAAATAAATATATAATTATAGAAAAATAGAATTTTATATAACTAAAGAAAGATTATTAAATTAAAAAATTTTATATTATTATAGTAATAATATTATTCAAATAATAAAATTATAAGTTTATAAATTAAATTTATTTATATTATATTTTATCTTATTTATAATTATTAATAAAATAATCTTACAACTTGGTAATAGTAGATATAATTATTATAAATATCGCTCTTTAATACTTTATATTATATTATATACTTTATATATATTTTATATATATTTAGTTTAATAATTTAAATTCTAGATAAAATAAATATTAAGTAATTTGATTAATTTATATAAAATATAATTGAATTTATCAAGATATAAAAAAAGATAATTCATTTAGTCCAAAGCTCTTATTTTATCTTTTAGTTAAAATACTAATATACTTAAAAAAGCTAAATAATAATATACTTGTTTGAACAATATAAGTTAAAATAGTTTTCTTAATATAAGAAATTACAGATAAATAAATATAAAAATAATATATTATTATCTCTTTAAGTAATGTAATCTTATATTAATATCTTAAAAAATATAAAGCAAATAATAATATTATACTATTTGAAATCTAAAAAGTATTTATTATAGTACAAAAGTCTTCTAATAATTATATTATTAATAATATTTTTATAAATAACTATATCTTCTTTATTAAATCAGATTTGTATAAGATTATAATATAAAATTCAAAAATATAATTAATAAAGCTACAGATATGAGTAAGTTATATATTTTATAGAAGATTTAAAATCTATTATTAAAATAGAGATTAGTTATTAGATATTAGAAACTCTAGAAGAAACTTAAAAGTTAATTATTTATTATAATATTATTATATTATTACCATAGTGACATAAAATTTCTTAATTTCTTAATCTTTCCCTAGTTATGAAAAATTATATTTTATTATAATTTTATTTATTTTATAATTATCACTATTTTTTATATCATTTATTACTATATTATCATATTTTTTATTTTTAATATTATATTTTATTTATTTAATATTTGAGATCTATATTTTTATTATCTTGTAATATGATATTCATATACATAATAGAATAGTATAATGAAAGATTATTTTTAATTTTGGTGAAACTGTTATACTTGGATAATGATCTCAAATATTTTTTCATATTCTTTGACATCCTTTAATATTCTATTATATCCTTTCATATCTTTCTATATCTTTCAATAGCTTTTCATATCTTCTCATATCTTTTTATATCTTTTGATATCCTTTCACATACTCTGACATTCTTCAATATTCTTTGATATCTTTTAATATACTTTAACATAATCTATTCATAATTATTTACTTTAATTATATCTTATATATTAAATAGTATTAGTTAGTAATACTATAATAATTTTTGTATCTGAAAAATATATAAAAGGATCTGCTATCCCAGCTGAAATAAATAGTTTTGACAAGATTTATTTGGAAAGTATAAATTATATTAGTACCTTTTCATATTTTTGTTTGAATTATTTGGAAAGTATAATTTGATTATACTAATACCCTATCTTGCACTCAGTTTTATTCCTTTGACTATACAAAGTTAATTTTGGATTTTTGAATTATAATATTATATTAATTTTTGATTTATTTGATATTATTTTGAGAGTAAAAGATTTCTACTATAAATACACTATACTTTTTGTTTTATTGTTTTTTGAAAATAAAAGATCTCTATTATAAATAAGTTATATCTTTTATTTTATTTAATTATTTAGTTTATATACTTTAGTTTTTATTTTTTATTAGTTATAATCTTCTTTGATTAATAGTTTACTATTTAATTAATTCAAATCTTGATTACTAGTGGCTTTACTCAATTGTTTTTTATAATTTCTTTAATTTATTTATTTATTTAATTTATGCTTTTTGAGATAATATTTATAGATATTGGCATATGTCTTAAAAATTTTTATTATTATTGAAAGTTATAGTCTAATTTCTCTTTCTTTATTTTTTAATTATTTCAGTTTCTCCCAACCCAATATCATTAAGATAAATTTAAGTGAAAATTCACTTACCAATTTGCTATAACAGTATATATCAAAAATCAAATAAAGCTTTTATATATGAGAAAGCTTACAAGAATCTTTATAAATTAAATAAAATATACTTAAATAAAGAATATTTACTACCTATATTTTTTAGACAAGAAAAATATATAATTAATCTGAATATAATTTATTATAATAGAAAAGATAATTGAAAACAGAATATTAAGATAAAGATCAAAAGAAAATTATAAGATAAGTGCAACTTAAGTATTTTTAAAAATAATTAAATTATTACTATTCAAGTACTATATATTTATTTTATATTTGAGAATAGAAATATTTATATATTTTTGAAATCTTACAGATTTTATCTAAACTCTACTCATAACTTATTTGCTATTCTAGTATATAATTACAAGTTTTAAGATAAAAGAACTATAAACAAACTAATAAAATAATAAGATAAGATATATATAATAAATTAAAAGATAATATAAATAATAATAAAATGAAAAAATAAGATAAATGTTCTAAAAAGAAAAAATAATAAAAAAAATAAATGGGATTTATTTTTAAATTATTTCTGAAGTATTTTTGAACTATTAATAAACTATTTGTAAATTATTATTAACTTTTAAGCTAAATATTTACTTATAATTTTGAATTATTACTAAAATATTATAAAAGTATTACTGAATTGTGACTGAATTTATAATTAATATACTAATTAAATTATTTAAAATTATATATTTTCTAAAAATTAATTGATTAACTAAAAATTCAAAGTTCAAAAAAATTATAAAATTAAAGAAATTTATATTACTATTATAATAATATTTACTTTATTTTTATATAAAACTTTTATAAAGTTTTTTAAGACTTTATTATTAAGTAATATTTAAACTAATTTATTATTAATTTCTTATAATTATTTTTAAGATAAGTAAATTCTATTCTTTAATTTTGTCAAGATAACTTTTCTTATAGATATTTTATATTTATAATCTTAATTTTTAATTTAGAGTAATAATTCTTAATAAAATAATTAGACTTTTCATAATTATAATATATATTTTTAGATTTATTATTTTTTAATTATTATTTTTCTTATAATAACTATTTACTTAATTTAATTTTATTAATATTAAATTATTATTTTAATAATTTCTATTCTGTTAATATAAATAATAATTATTATTATATTTACTTTATATATTTAAGAGTCTGTCTTATTTATATATAACTATATTAAAGTAAATGACTAATTTTCAGATATTCTTTAAGTTTTCTAATACTTAATAATTAACTTTCATCTTAATAATCAGTTTAAAATCTTTTATAAAATATATAACTTGATTTAGATTATTTATATCTGTAATTTAACTAATTAAATTTTTGAATTTTTATTATAATCTTATATAAATTTGATCTGATAAAGAAAATATAATTATTAATAAAAATATTATTAATAATATAGTAATTAAAAAGTATCTTTTAAGAGTAATTATAAAGTCTTCTTATTACTTATATAATATAATATTATTATTTATAGATCAGTACAAAAAAATTTATATCTTAATATAAAAATTAATAATTGCTTTTAATAAAAATTATTCAAATTTTAATTAATTTTTATAATATTTTTATATTAAATAAAAAATAATTTAAATTAATTATTTATATTATTTTAATTATTCTATTATATTTTAATTTAATAATAAATAAAGTATTATTTTACTAAAAAAGAAATTAAAATAAAATCATTTTTTTTAAAAAAAAGATATTTTAAATATTTTTATTATTAATTTATAATATTATAACTTCAAATTACACAAGCAAATTTGTTCTAGATTTGATAATATATATTTAAATTTTATAAAAATTAAATCTATAATTATAAAGATATTAAGATTCAAAATTAAATAATTAAATTTTTTATTATATTATTTTTATATTAATTTTAATCAAATTTTATATAGTAAAATTTAAGAAATAATAATTGAAAAAAGCTATTATTAATAAAAATTTTTTTTATAAAAGATATATAATAAAAATTTTATATTTAAATAAATCTCAATATTTAATAACTTAATTAAATAAGATAAAATTAAAATTTGATCGGAGAAATGATTGTCCGTTTATAACTTGAATGTTTCATTGAAAATTATCTTCTTTCGAATTAGATTTCCCGGGGCGCGGCCGGTCAGTTTTACAGCATCAGACTTTCATCTGTTGGAAACGGAAGATTATTTTGTATGCGAAAAAAGTGATGGCCTTCGATACTTTATGTTTGCAACCATTACGCCAAAAGGACCGGCAACGTTTCTTGTAGGCTATCTTTTGTTATTTATAGTGGTGTACCGTTCTGTTATTCGTTATTTTATGATTTTTTAACTTTTCTCTAATAATCGGAAAATTAAAACCAGGTAGATAGGAGAAATAAAGTAAAATACATAGCTGACTTGAAATTACCGCTTCGCGAATCTCCAAATAAATTTCATAACGAGACTATGATAGACGGGGAGTTGGTTGTGGACCTTGACAAAGTTTATATTTTTCATTATTTATTTATTTACCTATTCATTAAATGATTATTTATTGATTTTTAATGAACAAAATTTTTTTACCTAGAGATGTGTACGCTTTCTAGTTTTTGACTTGATGGTGATTAATGGCATGGTTATCACACAACGGTCATTAAGTACGCGACTTGGGGTACACGCTCGAATCTTTATATATAGAGTTTTTTGTGTCTAGATTAAATTATTGAAGTTAATTTTCCATCTCCTTTATTTTTTGTTGAAACAAATTTTAGATGCTCAGACAAGATGTGATTGATCCGCTGCAGACAGCACTAAAGAATGACCCAGCGCTGGCAAAAAAACAGCCGTTGACGTATGTGATTGTTTTAATTCGTTACCCGTTCAAAATGATATGATCATGCTGAATTTTAGAATTCTATGAAATAATGTTTCTCCATATAGAGTTGAATTAAAAGAAATGGAGCGATCATACAGACTACCGAAAATATTACAACAACTACCACTGCTTAAACACGCAAACGACGGGCTAATTTTCACACCCGTCAATTTGCCATATTCATTTGGCACTTGTCCAAAACTGTACGCACGTTTACTCTTTTCTAGCGTTACCATTTATTTATTTATTTATTTATTTATTTTGACGTCGATAACTGACTAGTAAAAACTAAATTTTTTATTGCTGATATAGGTTCAAATGGAAACCAGGAAACAGCAACACGGTCGACTTTAAGATCAACGTGGTATGGAACACGGAACGAAAACCACGATACGAGCTATTTATTACGAGTAACGGTGTGCCTAAGTATTATGATCAGTTGACGCCTGAGGATGAGCTGGCTGCAGAGTATGTTTGTTTCTTTGATTTTTTAGACCTACTAAACCGCCTAAAAAATAATGAACTAAATATTATTAATAATCATAGATGGCGTAAAAACCCTCCAAATAGTCGTATTGGTGAATTTTGGTAAGCTTTGTAATTTCTTTATGGTTGGATGGTTAGATTTGTTGTCGACCCGTCTATGCACATTTGCCTTAATTATTTAATATACAGTCTACCCCTTCTATAATTGCTTCCATATGATCACACCTCAAAAGTCACATTATTTCTCGGCCACTACATATGCGACTATAAAATAAAAGCCCCTATATAAGATAGTCATACCATTACCGGGACCCGAAGGGTGACTATGTGGGCGTAGACCTTATTTATGTACCACTTTATGACCTTGAATAGTTCCTAATCTTATAATGTACCTATATATTTAGGTGGGACCCGAACTGGAAAACTATTGTAGTTAACGAAGATGGGTATGCTCCCAGTGTTCGTGCGGGTGGTTGGAGGTTGGTATCATAATCCTAGTAAATTTTTTAATAAAATTTCGCCTTTAACTAGCTAAATATATTAAAATCCGTAGGTTTCTAAGATTTCGCGACGACAAAGATTTTGCTAATGACGAAAAACTCGTGAAAAAAATAATGAACAGCATACAAGATGCTGTATCTCAAGAGATGGTAAAAAAGTCATTCCTTCTCCAAATTTTTCTTCACAAAGATCAATCTTTTGACAAGATTTTTTACCTAATGAATGAATAGTTGGAAGGACACTGTGACATAATACGCAAAAGTTGGGAAGAACGAGAAAAACCGTCACCACCACCGCCACTACAAACGACGACGCCAAAAATAAACAACACAACATCAACAATTACAAAAACCATTTCTCGGGATGTTACGCATTAGCAAAGTAATTTTATATATGGTCCGTTGCAAAAAGATTGATACATCAGATAAATATTAATAGATTATTTTTTCAAAATAAAATTTTTAATTCTGTCTTATTTTAATTAAGTTATTAGGTATTGGGATTTATTTAAATATAAAAATTTTTATTATACAGTATATCTTTTATAAAAAAATTTTATTAATAATAAACTTTGAATTATTATTTCTTAAATTTTACTATATAAACTTTGATAAAATTAATATAAAAATTATCTAATAAATAATTTAATTACTAAAATTTGAACTAATTCAATTTTTATGAAATTTAGAATATATATTTATCAAATCTAGGACAATCTGCTTGCATAATTTGAAATTTTAATATTACAAATTTATAATGATAATATTTAAAAAAAAATAATTTTTAGTTTTTTTTTTAGTAAAGTAGTGCTTCATAATAGAATAATTAAAATAGTATAAAAAGTAAATTTAGATAATTTTTTATTTAATATAAAAAAATTATAAAGATTAATTAAAATTTGAATGATTTTTATTAGAAGTAATTATTAATTTTTATCAATCTTTTTGCAATGACCCATAATAATCTTTAGCTTATCAATTCTATTTTTAAAATCAATTTATGAATTAAATAAAAATCAAGCACAGACTCTATTTTCACTCTTACTAAAGATGAAATTAAATTATTATTATAAGAAGAAATGAACTTTGATTATTTATTGAATAAGCAGTCAAAATTGTTAGGATCCAGAATAGTTAATCCTTTAAGCTGGAGCTGTAACTTGACCTTTTTTTTAGTAAAAGATGAAAGACGCAAAATTTAGTTAATGTGTTGAAGCTTTTGCCTTCAAAACTTCTAGTTTCGCGTTATTAATCATTGAAGGTCACTCTCGAGACGAATCAATAAATCTTTACGTTATATATGTTTTGTTCCAAAAGTATGACTAATTCCAGTTATTTGGTGATGATGACAAGTTCACTACAGTGTAACCTCGATATTAATGAATTGAAGTTAGCTTTAACGTCCATAATAAATTTACCTTGATAAAGTGACAGCTCGTTACACTATATATAAAACTTTTGATCTGTATAACATAGCGATAGTGAGTCACCACCAAAAATTTGAATTGTATTTTCTCGCATAATAATGATACGGCAGCCTCAACAATTGGTATTATGCTTCAAACAACAGCAGCAGATTCAAACCTCTACTTTACGTCATCAAAGTTCCACACTGAACTTTAAATCCTCATTACCCTCGGTAAATAGGACGCGTTTTAAACAACGCAACCAGCACAAAAACTTTGTAAGCTTGAACACACCAATTGAAAATCCTATATACAATTCCACGACTCTCGCGCTTCCCTGCAAGTCAATGAAGAATTCCAGAGGAAAGTCTTCTTTTAGAATCTTTGCTTCAAATCAGCGTTTCTTTGCGCAACGAGTGAAATCGTCCAGTTCTACGACAAACAAGAAAAAAACAAAGGAAAAAATTGATGTCACAAAGTCTGAGGTTTCCCCAGTCAATTTAAATGAAGAAATCACAAAGGTTTTGGAAGGTGTGTAAAACGGTAACTCGTGAGTTTGCTATACATTCGAATAAATGTTCTTTCTAATCAAAAAATTTTTTCCTAGTACTTGCACGAAATGAAAAGAATGAAGATAACGTATATAAGGAACGCGCGTATTACAATGCTATACGTACGCTTTCATTATACCCGCACAAAATTACCTCTGGAGGCGAGGCCAAGCAGCTAAAAGGAATAGGAGAAAGCATTGCTCGGAAAATTGACGAAATTCTAGAAACAGTATGTCTTGGGAAATGTGAAGCTCTTTTTTTTTACACAAATTAGCGTTTGGCTGAATTATATATGTACATATGAAGAATGCATGCTCACATAATAACTCGATTGATCGGTCGATAATTATTCGACAACCATCTCATACTAGGGTACATGCGAAAAATTAACAGAGGCTAGTAATCCATCAACGCAATTAATGAACTTATTTACGCGAGTTTTTGGGATTGGGTGCGAACTTTTTCCTATTATTGCTCACGTAGTTTGCTATAATGTCAGATTTCGGATTACTTAGTTACCTATTGAAATATTTTTGATATTTACTCTAAACTCGAAAGGCCAGTCGCCGCTAAGAAATTTGTCGAAAAGGGATATACGTCTATAGAGGATCTTGCCAAAGATCCTGATTTGAATCAGAATCAACGTTTGGGAATTAAATATTTTCATGATTTTGAAAAAACGATTCCGCGTGAGGAAATGGCTGAACTGGATGTAATGAACTTTTTCCCGCGTTTGCTGTTTCTTTTACCATTATTTCAGATCTTAATTTCCATTCGATTTTTCAAAAAGAAATTAGTGACTACTGTTGCTCGAGAAATTGACGAGAAATATATTGTGACTGTTTGTGGAAGCTAGTAAGTAAAATTTATCGAACTCGGGGTTTTCACTTAGAATTTAATATGGTCACGTGTTTCTATCAACGAAAGCATTTAAATACTTATTTGTAAAAGTCGTCGTGGCGAACCCGAGTCAAGTGATATCGACATTGTTATAGCCCACCCGGATTATACAAGTTCGCTTGAATCCGATCCTGGAGAATTGTTAAAGACATTTATAGATAAATTAATAGAGAAGGAATTTATTACCGACCACATTACGTCAGGCGCAGTAAAATACACAGTGAGTTTAACAGATAAGATTTTTAGAACATTTTATTTAAAAATGAAAATAATTTTTGATTTCCATATATCTTTGGTGTCAATAGGGGGTTTGTCGACTTTCAGATAATGAAACCCGCGTACATCGGCGGATCGATATTCGGTATTTTTGCGATAATAACAACCTGTTTAATAATATAAACTATGAACTTAATTAAGTCATTCATAAACTGTTACTCTGCTTTTAAGACTTTTACCATACGACCGCTCTTGGCTTGGAGTATTCTTATTTACTGGTGACGACGAATTCAATAAGAAAATGAGGAGTCGTGCCATGGATTTAAATATGCATTTTAGTGAATATATATTAGCGCGTAAAGACAAAAAGACTGGTGAAATAAAGGAACCTATAGAAGTACGAAACGAAGCGGATATTTTCAGAGCGCTCGGGTTGAATTATATAGATCCAAAAGATCGGTCTTGGAAAATGATTAGAAAGAAAGATAAGATTTCGCAACCTGACAAGAGAGATTGGATAAAAGAGGAAATTAAGCCACTACAATCGTCGAATCGCCTAATAGAAGGGAAGATTAAACCACCACTATCTTTGAATCGTCTAATAGAAGAGGAAATCAAACCGCAAACATCGTCGACTCACATAATAGAGAAGGAAATCAAACCGCAAAAATCATTAAATCAACTAATAGAAGAGGAGATCAAACCACCACAATCGTCAACTCGCTTAATAGAGGAGGAAATCAAACCACCACAATCATCGAATCGTCTACTAGAAGTAACAAAGAGAATTTTTAAATGGCCGTGGACAGGAATTTCTCGTTAAATAAAACTAAAAAAAAAACAAATAATATTGTAAATCGATTATGTTCATTCTTTTGTTTAAATTATAATCTGTGATTTTGTACAAGAATTAGGATCCCCTCTTTTTACGTATCATGTACAACTCTAATAATTATTCATTTGGTAATTTTGCTAGAATTACAGAAATTGCAAAATTATGCCATGTTCACAGGATTCCGAGTACTATAATAAAAGTGGGGGCGTGTCTAATTCGATTATTTGATCAATTACATTTTTATTTCATTCTATGCCAAAGCAAATATACATTTTTAACTTGCTTTAAATACGGGTTTGGTTTTTAGATGAATAGGTTCTTGTCCTTGCGGCGTGCCCGGTATGACTTTCTCTAATTTCTGACACAAAAAAAGTAAACAATAATTATTACAATAATAATATGGACAAGGAATTTTTTCAATTCACCACCTCCTGCCAAGACTAAACTAATAGCAATAATGTATTGATTACTAATTTACCAATGAATTCCAAACACATGTATTAAATTCTCGTTCTAACGGTCGACAACGGAAATACTCTTGATTACGGTCATCGAGACATCTCCAATGTGTTTCGAACTCTTTTTCACAGTGTTCACGAAGTTTTCGAATTCTGACATTAAGAATCACAATAATATAGAATATTGAATGTTCGAGCGAACGTTAAACCAGCACAACATAAGACTCCTTTGGCTACACCTTCCTCTTCAACGCATCTTATCACACAAAAACTCACATATCAGTGGCACAGCGCGTCACTTTTCTACCTTCCTTTAAACAATGCGCTGGATCATTATTCTCATTCTTACATAACATGAAATCCTCGTTAAACTCTTTGCAATACGCGCCAATAAAGAATGCGGCAGACTTTAAAGGTGCCGAAGTGGCACCAACTTCGTCAACTGGTGGTATATCTGACGGAAGTGGAGTTGGGTCAATAAAGGGAGTCTGTGCTATTGAGTCTGGACTTGACATTTTTTATTACTGTGAAGATGTCAAAGAATCGCTTTCATTAAAGCAAAAGATTGCGAACTTTGCTATTTATTCACAATTTTTAGTAGGTTGTGTAACAACGTTCCCTTGATGTAACCGTTAACGATAAAAATAAAAACTAACAGGGATAACCCCACCAAAAAAAAAAAATCATTTATTAATTTAATCTCCATATCTTTTTTTTTCTATCTCTACTTTTTTAAGCTCACAATTTAAAAGTTATGTGTTATATATGTAATATACTACAAACGATCCGAAATTATCTATAGTCTATGAGAAATAGGATAATGCAAAACCTAGCACACCAACAGCGAATCCAGTGAAAGTGTAAACTTTATTTGATGTTGCACCGGATGCGTGGGAAGTAGAGTTGAGTTTATTGGCAGATGGACTTGATGTTGATGATGGGGAAGAAGTGGTAAATGAGGTGGTAGAATTATTTTTTGATGTTCCATCAGTTGACGTTGTTGTATTGTCCGGGTTTGATTGTGGGGCATTAGGATCGAACCCTTTAATAGTACCTGAGATTCCTTGAATGTTGAATTTACCAGAGTATGCAATATTTGAAGTATTTGAGGTTGAAGAAATTTTGATATAACTATTGACAAAGAAATATGATGTAATTGTTTATTAATCATGTTTGGAAGTGAAGGTAAAATGGGATTAAAAAAAAAAAAAGGTAAAAACTTACTAATAAGGTCCTGCTGGTCCCAAATCTTTTCTAACCGTATAATCGGCCTTAAGTGCGGAAGGTTTTACACTTTTCGCGATGGTATCAGCAACGATTTGTTGATCATTACCGGTCATCAATTGGACGATAACACTATTTCCCCAGTCCGCAAGTTTTGGTGCTTTTCCGTCATCTTTCCAGGTGACAGTTTCCGTGGAATTACTTTGCCAGGTAATTGCATTGAACGGGTTCAAAATGACAATGTTTCCACTCACAATTGTGCTGCTGGCATAAAGAATGGAGGCAATAAGAATTGTCGAGGAAAATTTCATTTTTTCAGGTGAAGATTAATATTAAATAAAAATGGGTTTTTGTATTGTATATTTTGTGTTGTAAAGATTACCTCCAGGGTAATAAAGAAAGATAATGAATGATAATATGTGAGAGAAAGAGAAAGGAAAGACGTAAAAAAAAAGAAATGAGAACTAAAGAAGCCTGACTACAATGCGTATGTATACGCGTATTTATATAAAATATCGAAAATATTTAATCATTAAGCCTTTTATGGGTTTGTGAAATAATTATCGCGTTACATCCCTTCGTGTTACATACGGTTTTCTTGTATCGAAGCGTTTCGGGCGTCATACTAGTAGCCGAACAATATATCGTGTTACCTATTTTAATTTAAATTAATTTATATACTTTAATTTTGATTGTTTACATGCATTATTGCATATATTTGATAAATAAAATAATTTGATCGAGCGAGAATCCTAATTTGAGCACTATGTTTTTTATTTGGTACACAGCTCTTACATATGCAAAAGAGAACATGTCAAATATTTAGAGATTTCTCGATATCGACTTTATTCTCGTTATCATTATTGGTTGAGAAAGTATTAATTTTTTCATGTTTGGAATATGTGTGAGCTTAATTGCAAATCACGCAAATCTCCCACGCGAATTGATTAATTGACATAGTACGTGCATGGGCAAATTTTTATTAAAACAGGTGTGTTCTGTTCCCGTGTAGGGAAGAACGTTCAAAGTCAAATAAATTCTATTTTGAGTAATAGTAGTTTCACCAAACATTCTGATGCTCTACCACATTTAAACATGCTGTGTGTAATTCATTTTATTCTCTGATAAATAATCATACCTCGCTCATCCGCAACCGCGTGTGAATGTTGTAGCTGTATCGTCTTTCTTTTCTCTCTCTTACTCTTTCTTTTTCCAAGACGCAAAGGGTAGTGCAGGGTTAGGAGAAAAACAATCTCGAAGAAAGTGAGAGCTCATTACAGTAACACTCTTTAAGTTATAATAACACCAAATCTCTTTCCCCCAATCTCATTATTTTACGACATAATAACCCTTCCCCGGAGCACATTATTGTATTGTATCGAGCGCTCATTGTAATTCCTTCATGTATAAACTCGGAATACACTTAATAGCAATAGCAGCGCAGGCATATCCATAATACACATACACATATACATATACATATACACACGAAGAAAATGTTTAGACAGAATGTTTACCCACCAGCCAGTTATAACAATCAACCCCAAGAGATTCCATTGCAATATCGTCACGGCTATTCTTCCAACAATGGTAACTCGCAGCTTAGTCCTCACCATAACAACAGTAATCTTCAATCGCCAGCGAATGCATATCATTCTGTAGGGCGTTCGCATAATAATCATCAATTCGATGCACAACAAAATCAAGTTCGAAGTCCTACATACAACAACAATAATCACCCTCAACAAAACTATGACAACAATTATCCGCCTCAACCTCAACCACGCTCAAATCAAAATTATAATAATTATGTCGGTCATAATAATAATGGCAATCTTGCACCTCCCAGAAATAACAATAATTATAGTGGCGGGACGTATAATAACTCTGCTGGTCCATCAGACTATCAGCCAAATGCGCCATATCGTCAAAATTCTGCGAGTAGTAGTTCAAGCAATGTAAGATCCCCTGCTTATCTAAATGCTGCACAACTGTCTTCTTCCGCCTCATCGACTACATATCGGGATCGAGCTATGCCAAAGCGTTTCTCTATGGCATCAAACGGAACAGGAACTGAAGAAAAGTACAATCTTTCTCCTACTTCTAGTCATCATCTTCGGGAGAATGATTTCGCATCACGTGAACCTGACGATGATTTACATAATCCTGCGGAGGTGATTACTGGAAAGGATCGTAAATGTGTATTGTTCTCAAAACGTGGATGTTTAAATGGTGGTGCATTGGCTTTAATTTTATTCGGGATTTTGGGATTATTTGCTGCATATCCTGTTTACACTGCCATTAAAAATGCCCAAACATCAAAATCAACTTCGACAACACCTAATGGCGGAAAACTAAAGGCAAAAGCTGCGATTCCCGTAAATTTCATCGATCCAGATACTCCAAGTTGGGCAAAATCAAAAAGATCAAGTGATGGAAAAGATTATAAGCTTGTGTTTTCGGATGAATTTAATAAAGATGGAAGAACATTCCGACCGGGTGACGATCCTTTTTGGTATAACCAACATACTAGAATTACTATCGAATTGCTTTTAACTTTTTATCTTGTAATTAAATTTTTTTCTTGCGTGATTATGTTAATTAGGGAGGCGGTAGATCTTCATTACTGGGCTACTAATGATTTGGAATGGTATTCACCTGATGCTATTACTACAAAAAATGGTTCGTTACAAATTACCATGACAAAAGAAAAGACGCATAACCTTGATTATAAATCGGGAATGCTACAAAGTTGGAATAAATTTTGTTTTCAGGGTGGAATTATGGAAGGTAATAAAATAATAATAAGAATGATTTTTTTCATTGACATAAAATTTGATTTATTTCTCTTATGATTAGTTGCTGTATCACTTCCTGGAGATGGTAAAGTACCTGGATTATGGCCTGGGATATGGACACTAGGAAATTTAGCTCGTGCTGGATATGGTGCGACTACTGAAGGTGTTTGGCCATATTCTTATGATTCATGTGACGCTGGTATACTAAAAAATCAGACAGATACCTCTGGCACTTTCTCATACCTGTCCGGTCAACGTCTGAATAAATGCACATGTCCCGGAGAAGATCATCCTTCACCTGGAATTGGTCGTGGTGCTCCAGAAATTGACGTGTTGGAAGCATTTGTAGATCCAAATAATCGCGCACAAATATCGCAGTCTGCACAATTTGCGCCATTTGACGCGAAGCAGCAAGTAGATAAAAGACATGTTTCTATATACAGTACTGGTAGAACAGTTTTTAATTCTTATGTCGGCGGGATTTGGCAACAGGCTGTAAGTTCGGTGACGATTATGGAAAAAGAAGTATTTAATGGTAAAAGCTTTGAAAAATATGCATTCGAATATGAACCGGGAGTAAATGGTTATATTGATTGGTCGATTGATGATAAATCTACTTGGAGACTAAATGGACCGGCTGTTGGACCTAATCCTCATTCTCGTATTAGTTCACGATCAATTAGCGAGGAACCAATGGCGAGTATTAATTTTAAAATTTTCTGAATTTAGTGAAGACTTGATGATGACTAATTTATTTTTCTCTCTTTTTTTTTTAGTCTATAATCTTCAATCTTGGCATGGCAAAAGAATTTAGTGCTATTGATCTTGAGAATTTAAAATTCCCTGCGACTATGCATATTGATTATGTACGAATATACCAAGATCCAACCAAAATTAAAACGTCATGTAGTCCATCGGATCATCCTACAGCTGAATACATAAAAAAGTGAGTAGTGACTTGATTATTTATTTTGTCAAGTTTTCTCACCTAAATTAAATACTAAATGAATTATATAATTCACAAGCCATATCAATGCATATACGGATCCAAATCTTACCACGTGGAAACAAGCTGGATACTCTTTTCCTAAGCATAAATTGGAAGGCAAATGCTAGTCACTTTGTCAAACGAAACTTTGTATAAACACACCCCGGCGAACATTATGCAAACTCTGGGTGTTTGTATTGCGGGGTAAAAACTATATTTTTTAAATAGAATTGTATTAATAGTTTTGTTTTTTCTCTTTCTATGGTAGAATCTCATTGCTGTGGGCAACGGTGATTCCTAAGGAACAAAAGAATTTTCTTTTTTCGTGTATATGTAAACTTTATATAAATATGTTAGAATATTACATTAGATGAAAAGTGGATTGATCCATTTTATCATGTTTTTTTCTAATTTTTTTTTGTTATATTTTTGTTATACTAGTCTTTTTTCTCCACCCTCTTTATTATTTATTCATACCCTATTGTTAATACCTTTTTTTCCATTTTCTCGCTTGAATCACTTTATATATAACATCATTAATCCAACAATCATATCTCATTATTTATATATATTACATATTTGAAATCGAAATGTAAATAAATCTTTTTTTGATCCGATTTCGATGATAATTTTTAAAATTTTCGCTTTCGAGGCTTTAAAAAATGGCAGCACCTTACCGAAAAGTGCAACCAAAACAGTTTCCAAAGCCTTTGACTAGCTATGATGCTGAGGCTGCCGCTTACTGGAAAAAGTTTAAAGTGTGCTTTATTTTTTTTTAGTTGTTCCGAATTGCTTACAACATCGATACCTTAATGCTATTTTCTTGATAAATAAGACACCGAAATATATTACAGAAACTGCTTCTGTGACCTCTATACATTTTTCGCCTGTTTCTCCACACGATTTTGCAGTCACTTCTTCCACGCGTGTTCAAATATACTCTTCGAAAACACACAAAGTAGAAAAGACTTTTGCGCGTTTTAAAGATACCGCGTATAGCGGTACAATAAGAAATGATGGAAAATTGCTTTTGGCTGGGGATGCAACTGGATGTATACAGGTTTGATCCTAAATCTTTGTGTTGGGAAACTTTTGTGAAAAACAAAAGTTAATTTGAATTTCCAATATTATTTTTAGCTGTTTGATATAAATAGTCGTCGTATATTACGTACTATACACGAGCATAAACTGTACATGCAATTTCGATATATATTATGATTTTTTTTGCATTTTTGTGGAATATATAATAACTATTAAACAATTCATACACATCCGACAAGTCCAGTACATGTAACGAAATTTTCAAGTGGAAATAATGGACAAATATTATCTTGCTCGGATGATAAGACTGTAAGAGTATGGGATGTACCTAGTCAAGAAGCGATTTCAATATTCTCGGAACATGAAGTAAAACTTTTTTTATTCTAATCATATCAATATATTATATAGATATTGATTATATCATCATTAATATAATAGGATTACGTACGTGCTGGTTGTATAAGTCCAAATAATTCAAATTTGGTATTATCTGGTTCTTACGATAAGACATTAAGATTATGGGATATTCGTGCAAATAAAGTGGTGATGAATATGAACCATGGTTATCCCATTGAATCTGTGTTGATGTTTCCCGGTGGTGGAGTCGTGATCTCGGCGGGTAAGAATATTTTATTTGACTAACATACATAAAAGAACTTTGTAAATAAATGACTTTTGTAATTATTTCTATTATTAGGTGGTCCAATTTTTACGGTATGGGATATAATAGGTGGTGGTCGTGTAATGCGTTCTGTCTCCAATCACCAGAAAACCATCACCTCTTTATGTTTCGATTCTTCTTGTTCTCGATTATTGACCGGCTCATTAGATGGGCATGTAAAAATCTATGACGTGACAAATTATAAAGTGGTGCATGGCTTTAAATACGAGGAACCAATTTTGAGCATAGCTTTATCGGTATAATTATTTATATTTAGGACTAATTGTCATATACTGTGTTATATATGAAAGTAACATTTTCACGGCTCATATTTAGCCAGATGATACCATTTTAGTGACTGGTATGACATCTAGTCAACTAGGAATTCGGCAACGCCAAATACCAGTTCAAGAAAAATCGACGACAGCACTCAATCAAGGGAAACGAAATTTCCGTGGAGGATCTTGGGCTTATTTTAAAAGAGGGGAAGAGTATAAGGACGTTGAGGTACTACCTTTTCATAAGATGAACTTAATTTAGGAAAAGTCGCGAGATGAAATTGATAAATCGTTTTTCCTTATTTAAAAGGAAGATATTATTATAGAAAAAAAAATGAGTGAAGGAACTGGAATTCCAGATTATGATCAATTTTTACGTTACTTTCAGTATTCTAAAGCATTAGACTCGTCCTTAAAAGTTGTAAGTAAGGTCCTTTTAAGTTTAGTTTGATTATGATAAAATTAATCCGTTATTTTAATTGATTAGGGTGTTCGCGCGATCAATACAATATCTCTTCTTCTAGAACTTGTACGACGTGATGGTTTGCGGCAAGCATTAGCTGAACGAGATGATGCTTCATTACAACCAATAATTCGTTTTCTGACGAAAAATATTAATAATCCGCGATATACGAACCTATTAGTGGACGTCGGAAACTTGATTATAGGTATTATTATTTCTTAACATTAGATCATTAATAATTCCTTTTACAAGTTTATATTAATCATTTGTGACAATTAGATATGTATAGTACGTCTTATGGATTGACGCCTTCACCAATAATAGAGGAATTCAAGAAATTGTACAAAAAAGTGAAATCTGAATTAGATTATCAAATTGAGTTATCTCGTGTTTTAGGATCTCTCGAGATGATTTTTGTAGCCGCAGAAAACGCGCATTCAATTCATAATAATAATTCATCAATTCAAACTGAAGATGAAATACAAGTTTGATCCTAAAGTTTCACAGCATACATTTTAATTTGTATTATTCTTCATATGTAATAGATGTATGCTTCATACTTTATTGATAATTTTCTTATCGGAGTTTTAGTTCGTCGAAATTCTGCATAATGGGATAAAAATACATGAATTAAAAAAAATTAAATTTACAATAATATACAATCCCTATTAATATAATTAACGATTGAAAAAAATCGAAAAAATGGTTTTTTCATAAAAGGACATGATGATAGTAATATACATGTATTAATCGATGATTAACCATGGTATTAATCTTAATTTTTCTAAATATTAAAATCATATATGAAAATCGCTATCATCGTCTTCTGTATCACTAATTGGTATTATTGATTTTCGTTTCTTCTTTCCTTTCTTTGACCCTAATTCAGTAGTCGTGTTCCTTTTTCTGGTTCCTGATTTAGTAGACGCCTTGGCCTTTGATGAGGAACCTGGTTTACGCACGACACCTTTCCCCCGTGATGAATTAGAATTTGATGCTCGCGATGCTATTGTATCGAAATTCGATAGAGCTGAGTTATCAAAATCTATATTGACATATACGCTGTTATTTCCTTTTTGATTCATGTCTTCGACCACGTCCAAATCTACTTCGGCAAATTCATCTTTTTGAGTACCATCTTCAGCCATTAATTTCAGGAACTGTGTCACATAATAATGCATATTAGAAAATCGTACTTCTTGCAAGGTTTATAGAAAATAAAAGGACTCACCAATTCGCATTGTTGAGCTATATCTTCGTCGGTATTCATGGGTTTATCTATGAATGGCAAATTTCCCCAAGATATTAAAGATGGTGCATTTTGATGACGTAATGCTGGCTTGTCTTTATGAGACCCACTTTGAGCTGGGTTAAAGTTTTGGCATTTACTAAATTCAAAAAAAATTTATACAAGATCGGATTTGATTCGAGTGTATAGAAAATAATTATTATTATTACTTACGCGTCGCTCAAGGCGTATACTTTTTTTAGATGCTCCTTCAGGAACATCAAAATAACCATACAAATGGAAACCTTTGCAGCGTATGGTCGTGGTAATATAGTTTCTTCTGCAAACCAAAATTTAAATTTCCATAAGTGCGTTTTATGAAAAAATTTCAAATGCTTTTTTTTTTACCTTTATCGCCATGGTTAATTGGTTTGGTGTCTTGAAAATCTTGGTTATCATCCATCTCCTCTTTCTGCATCGGAGAAAATATTTCTTCTGTAGACATATGGGAAGCAAGATCACTTGCATTTTCTGTTAACCGGTCGACATCCATCATTAAGAAAGGATTATTCGAAAGTTCATGTTGCGTTATTTCAGGATTCATACTATTGTCGATGACTATTCGAACATTGTCTGTTATGATTTCATCACTAGTATTATTGCTATTATTGATGTTATTAATATTCTTGCTAATTTTCGTGTATGAAGTTGTGCCATCGTTCTGTAGAGAATGATGAATGCTTATGCCAACAACCGATAAGACTCGATTTATACTATATATGACTTGAAGGACTTCCTCGATTGTTTTATAATCAATTGTAGCCAAATTCTCTGCCACAAATTTACAAAAATGTACATCCACCTGGATTTTATGAATATATCGTTAGTAAATTTAATTTGACATGATTAATCAAATTACTTAAATTATTAATAGGTGATGATTACCTTTGACTCATCTGTCCGCTTTAGATCAAAATCAAAAGTTCTGACCAGAGTTGTAAGAAAATCGTTTCGACGCTGTCGCTTCTCTTTTAAGAGCGAGTACATTGGATTAAGAAGTGCCTCCGGTTGTTGTTGACCTTCTGTCGAGCTTGTGGTATATCCTATAGAAATTGTTGTGTAAATTGATTTGAACGTTTCCACAATCCATCATCTTCGTGTCTCATGTGTTACTTACCCACTATTGAAGCATCCCCTACTAATTGTTTTTGGAAGTGGTATGCTTTCTTTACACATTCTACATGTCGAGTATGTATTAGAGAAGCATGTTTTTCGTTAAGATGTTGATGTAGTTTAAATGCTTTATCACGAAAAGCTGGTTCTGGGCTGGTTTCGATCGCAACAATTGTTGGCATGCACTAAATAATAAATGTCCATTAAATAAATAATCAAACCAGCAGGTAAATTAATGATGATAATTCCATGCCTTAAATTCTTACCAAGACAGGATGAGCGAGGCCTTGTTGGATAATATTCGCTAAAACATCAAGAGCAACAATCTTCATGTGTGGATTCAAATCAAATGTACAATCGAGAATACGGTCAAGATATCTTTGCATCAGAGAGCTGCTTACTCTAAACAAATAAACAATAGAATGTAAGATAACGTCGAATAACTATTATTAATGGAGCCTTACCCTGCTTCGGCAAATTCATCCGCATTACCAATAAGAACTTTTAAATCGACAGTAGTGTCTTTTTTGGATTCTAAACGGTTTATAAAAGCAAGATTCGTTAGTAAGACCATCGAGTAACTAATCATGTCCAGTAAAGTAGATCGTCAAGAATTTACTTTTGTCCTCCAAATCTGCATTAATTTTCTGCTGCTCGGCAAGCAGGAAATCAAGGAAAACCTTCATCAATTGAATCTTCATATCCATTACTCCGCTGTTGAATATACGATCCATCATGTCGGTGCTCTCAGGACGTAGCATCATTATAGGATGGGAAAGAAATATGAAACCTATAAAAATTAAACAAGTTAAGAATCTATAGCTTTACCAAAATTAAAAAAATAGTTAAAACTTTATTCTACCCAAACTCTGTAAAGCCATCTTTTGAACCGACTCGGATAGTTTTTCATTACAAAAGTATAAAATTAGTTCATAAACTAGCGGTGTTATCATTCCCTATGTGAAAATGAGAAAATGAGAATAAAATAAAGTTATCGCGCGAAATTCATACCGAAAGTATACTCATAGCTTACCTTATTAATGGCATTTAATTCTTTCAATTCATCTATAAATTATTTACATTCAAGAATAAAATATTATTAATTACAAGAAATTAATTCATGCCTTGTCATTAACGATGATATCTAACCTGGTTTTTCGGCTCGCTTTTTGTCAAAATCAAAATTCTGACAAAGCAATCCAATAATCATCAGTAATACCATAACATTACGAGCCGAAGATAGCTCTTGTGTTTTTTCGAAATTTTTTCGCTCCGATTTAAGTTTGTCTTTTTATCATTAAGGAAAATTAGAAGAAAACTATAAATGCTATGGCAAATAATATAGAAATTATCCATACCAAGACAGGAACGTAATAATTTTGTTAATCGCACATAATTATGTGTCAATTTATCAGCGATAATACACAGACATGGCACAACTTCTTGAAGAATCTATTAGAATAGGAAGAACGCATTGAAATTGAAACTAACATCAATAACAAAAAAATTATATTCCAAGATTTTCTTTACCTTTTGTGGGCTTTTTGTAAGCAGACTTAATAGTGCTGTCTCAACATCACTCAAAAAAGTTGGATTTGGTCGTTTCAAAAGAGGTAAAACACTCCGATATATTAAGAGAACGTAATACATGATTGCTTGATCTTCATTCTATATTTAAAAAAATTAGACACAAAGTAATATATAGAAAACTTTATCTCTATCGAACCAAATTACCGTGCTGGCGCCCTTTAGATATGGTTGCAATGTAACAACGTGTCTTCGAACGAGAGATGGAGAAGCATGACTTAGCAAACCGATAGTGCTAATACAGCTAACAACTTCTGTCTAAGAAATGAAAATCGACATTTTAAAATAAATAACATAATCAATTAGAAATAAATAGTCTAAATTACTTTTGAATTTCCATCCTGCAACGTCAGTAGATGTTCGAAGAGACAATCGACCATACACTGACATATATTCAAGACTTCTCGTTTTTGTTTTCCTTCTTTTTCTAGGATCTAATAAGGAAGCATTATTATGAAAATTTTTTCTTATAATAAATTTTATTAATAATAATAATAATAGTAAATGACTTACTTTTTTAAATAAGCTTCCAAGTATGTGACCATTTCTTTCACCTAGCTTCCCTGCTACTCCAACTATTAGCAGACTTCTTGTTAGTACCTCTTTCTTCCCGATAAGTGACATATTAAAAAATTCGCTTTGCCCTTCATCGTCTTCAAGGTCTTCAGTATCAATTATCACGTTCTTTTGGTATTTGAAAGGCGTTAACCATAATTCTTGTATTGTTTTAAAAGCTAAATCCTAGATAAATAATTAGAATGTCCATTAGTAATTTAATAGAAAATAATATATTAAATATCAGTCAATACCTTAACATGATCATCTTCATCATTGATTCGTAATAGAATTTTGCAGCCAATATCGATCATTACATTCTGATCCGTGCTTTTGAGGTAAATATCTCTCAAGAGTTTGATAACGCGTTTACGAACGTTAAGGCCGGTGTCCTAATTGAAATGATTTTTAGCACTTAACTAGGTTCCTTAAAATGACTTGAATATAAGTAAAGAAATAAAAGTCACTGACTTTTATACGTTCACTAATAATCTGGTAATATTGTTCAGTTATTTCGGGTTTTTGCGCTAAGTAACGACCAACTAGGTCAATTGCTGCATCACGAACTGCAGGAGAATTATCCTGAAGTCTTTGCGCAATAGTATTTCGCACTTCTGTCTATATCGATAAAAATTTCATTAATGTTGATAGTAATGAAAAAAAATAATGAAGAGTTCACGCATTGTCTTACTTGGCTCAAAACGCTGGGATCATTAACAACTACTTGGCCTAAAGCCCGAAGTGCTTTAGTTCGAAAAGCAACTACACCTTGGTTCAAAGATAATAAAATTCTAGAAAGAATCGAATCAAAGCTTTGATACAGAGCTTGTCTAGTTGCAAGCAGCTCAACCACAAGCAGGACTTCAGATCTCTCGGGGCTTTGCTGTCTTTAATTGAGAAAAAAATTACGAAGGATTAATAAAGAAATAGAAAGGTTATAGATTTAAATTGAAACAAACCTATATTCTAAAATCTGTTTTGTGTCTTCTTCGCAAGTCATATTCCAATATTCTTGGACAATATTAATCAAAAAATTTTCCTTTTCATTATTCGAAATCTCATGCTCGTCAAAAGACGGAGAATGAGGATCTCTTTTCAACAAGAGTAAAACGCTGGCATAAGAATATCCCCAGTCTGACAAGTAAAATTGGCGAGCACACTTAAAGAAAAAGTAAATATGTGTTAAAGAAATTAAGAAATAACACATTAAATAGAAAATTAATTCATAAATAATACGTTACTTGTAGACCGGGATCTTCCATCGCGCCGAATTCCAAGAAATTTAAAACTTTCTTTTGGTATTTCCAAAGATTCTCAATTAATGATAGTTGCGTGAGACTATCAATCTATATCAAAAATATAATTAATAACAATGCAATAAGATTAATAATAAATGAACAATACAAATGCTCCTACTTTTTCTTTTGGAATTTCTTTAAATCTTTTGGTTAGATTAGTGTCCTTTTCATCAAATTCCGTTTCGTATAATGTGGAATCATTATTTGAAAATTTCTTAATTCGGCCAGCAATAGTTCCCAAATAATCAATTGCCATAGATTTTGTGTATGTGTCTGCTTTTTTATCATCAATATATCCTATCTAAACTCGAATTTTTTAGTTATTATTTTTTTTAAATAATTAAAAAAAGTTTAATGAATAAAAAATAGTTACATTACCATAATTATACTAAATATGCGCAATACTAGTTCTGCCGCTGGCCACTCTGGATAATTCAATACAGTAATAACATCTTCCATGAAATTATCCAGTAGTAATCGATAATCGGATTCATTCGAATTTTTGACTGCTTTTGTACATCTATAAGTTATAAAAAGATTTGTTAACGTGATAAATTTCCATAAGAAATTTATGGAGACATAACATACCTTGCCAACAAGAATTTGAATACATATCCCGCATTCGCACTAGCTGCATCCATTCCCGACTTCCAGGCACGACCAAACTACTCATCAAATACAAAGTGTGAGAATATAAATGAAAAATCAAATTTAACTAAGATATGTAGCAAAATATACTTTTTGTAATTCTGTTGAAAAACCATCTGTTTCTTTATTTTCTACATCTCTTTCTTCAGCTAATCTGATTTTATTATCACCTAAGCCGGCTGTACAACTCTGAATAAGTTGCAATATTAAAGCAGATACCATTTGAATTGATTTGCCATCTGGTAGCCTAAAAGAAAATTTATAAATAACTTGAATGTTAATACAAACAAAAAACATTTAGAGAAATTTTTCACTTGTTTATACCGTTTAACTCACCGGTCTTACCTATATTGTCTTAGATTACGTTTAGCAGTGGGTAATTTTATTAGTGAGGTTAGGATCTCTTCTAAAATCCATGTACGTTGTTTTTGATGATTTGTAAATATCTGAATGTAAATATAGAACTCAGTGATTAATATTTCTATAATAAAATTATAAAGATAAGAAAATAAAAAGTTATATTCAAACCGATCGTAACAATCCAAGAGCAACTAATTTGACCCCATCTAATCCTCCACTACCCAAAATAGCAGTTGCATTACTATTCATCGTATCGACGAAAAACGGGCCAACTGCAATAAAACCAACAGTTATCACAACATTGTCCGATAACTCTTCTTGTTGCATTAAATCATAGAGTCTCTGCAGAAAATTTGTAATCATAGGCAGTAATGATGCAAGTTGCCGCTTTATACGCGAAGTGAGAAAAGAAGTTAAGAATAATAAGAGAATTGTGATAAAATAGATAGAATATAATTATAAAGGATATTGCTCAATAACTTCGGAAACTTCAGTATCATTTTGACCTATATACAAAGAAATAAAAAATAAAATTTCATATAAGTATAATTAACAAATAGGCGTACATAACCATACGTACTGTTAAGTTCATCATTGCTTGGATTTAGTTCCAAGAGTTTATAGATAACGCTATTGAGTTGGTTTTTGGTGAGATTTAAACTAGAAACAATTAAATCTTCGGGATAAAGCTGTGTATTTAGACCAGATTTTAAATTTGAATGTTAATTGAAGAACATAACAATAATATTATATTTTATAGCTTATAGCATACCTGTTTACTTAATTTGCCTCCAGTCATAATTGAGAGTGCACATATAGCAGCATCAATACCATTTATTATTTTTTCAATTTTTGCTTCTGTTTGATTTATTTTGGAATCAATGTCCATATTATCGTCCTCGAACGCTTCGTTGTTAATGTTCGTTAATTCTGCATTATCATGATATTTTGAAGTGAAAGCTCCAGAACGCGAATCGCTTTTCTGGTTAGTTGTAGAATTGGGCAATATATCTAACGTCTCGGCATCTCGTATAGAACGCTCTAATATTTTTAAAATTCGTGCCAGGTCTTCTACTTCTGCTTCTTCTAATTTCCTACTACGACGCGCCTTATTGGCAAGCTTCACGAGTTGACGAATAGTGTGAGTAGCGAGTATCGGTTCGTGAGAATGTAATGTCGAAGGGATGAAGAGCGAAGTCGAATTTGATGCAGTAAATTCGGCGATGTTTTCAGGCAATATAGAATCTTCCGCCTCAAAAATTGTACTTAAAAATTGCACTAGTCTGTTCAATGAGCCTATCAAAAATTTTTTGAAAATTAGTCTGTAAGCCAAAAAAAAAAAAAAAAGAAAAAACGTTGAAAAAGATACTACTTTCTCCATTTCGTTCATCTTCTCGATCTTTCTCTCTTTGTTTTTTTAAATCTTGACTGGAGCGTCTCTTGGCGACAGAAGGACTGGCTCCCCATTCAGAAACACTTGAATGCGGTGAACGATATTCATTAAGAATTTCCCTAGGTGGTATTTCTACTACTACCTCGGGTGATGGTCTACGTTGTTTTTCTTTTTTATAGGGAATAGGCAAAGTTTCATCCGGCTTTTTATTTGAGACTTGATCAATTTCTGATTTATGATAGTCATAAATGGTATTAGGTGGTATAACATCATTCTCAATGACCACTCTTGGAGATGGCGGACGAAATTCAGTCACATTCATTTGTATATTCTGCTGAGGATTAGAAAAACGATCACTGTTTTGATGATTATCTTTAATGTATTTTTGCTGATCGAGATGCCTTGTGTCAAATTCTGCTGATTCCTGATTTATATTATTTTTTTCAAGAATATCTGGCGTATATGCAGAAGGGGAAATGTAAGATCGATTATCTTTGTATAAATCTCGTAAAGACGTATCAGAATTCTGATATTTCGGAGACGTTGAATTATAATCATCAGGACATATTAAAGTCTGCTGAGGAGCAACACTTTCAATGATAATTCGAGGTGAATGTGAGCGTATGACTTGCGGCGTAGACGTAGAATTATTCTGGATAGCTGGATTGCACTCATTCGGTTGTTGTGAGATATGAGAAGATAAATTTCCGATTTTTTCATGATATTGTTGCTGAGACACGTCACCCAGTATATTATGAGCGGTTGAAGGTTCACAATAATCACGTGATTGTACTGGTGGGATCATTCTAGAACCTTCATAAGTGTTTTGATGATAAAAATTAGATTGATGACTAGAATTGCTGTGCAAATTATTTGAGAAGTTCATAGCATCATGAAATGGCCGCTTTTGCGGGATAGATGGAGGTGGTGATGTCGAATAATCAAAGGAAGGTAAAGAGTTTATTGGCGGAGGCGGACTTTTGAAACGGCTATGATTAGAGTTAAAAATTGAAAAAATCATTAAACGTTAAATTTTTAATCGATTGGATTTTTTACCAGTATAGAATAGTATAGTTCTATAAAACTCTTCATATATATTTTTTATAAATTGAATGAAATGAACAAGAACGCGTCTCCTTTGCTTTACTCACACATAACTAACATCAACTTGATTCAAAAGTCCACGAACAGTCTGCAATTGTTGTTGTAAACCCAAGTCGATGTGACCATTATTTTGTTGACTAAGCATGGCGCCAATATGTGCATACTGCGGGTCATTTAGATTACACGTTGGATATTCTTTGAACGCGACGGAAAGCGTAGGTAAATCACCAATGACTAAAATTTTAAGAAATAGCACAGGTATTTAGGGCGTGTAAAACACGTATTTATTCCGAATAAGTACGTTGCCAGTTAGATTACAAAGAGTACACCAAAAAACCTGTAGAAGCCGGTGTTATAGAAGCCAAAGCAGTATACTGAATGGCAGAACGAAGATCAGTAGGTGCGGGAATAAAAGAGCCACCACCGCTCCCTTCACCGCTGAAGTTTTCCCCACTAGAGCCACAAGAATTATTCATATAAGAAAGAAAGTAAGGAATACAATCCCAATGAGTATATTGTTAAATTTAATTATTGAGGTTGCCGAAATAATATATCGAGGACAAAGGTCGGAAACTCGGGCTTTTGTTGACATTTAAATGATTTGTGATTTCTATATCGATATTTATTTATTTGTGTTAGGATAGTCTACAAAAATTTTGATATACCGATACCAAATTTAAAAAAATGCTTGAAACAAGTATTCCAAATTCTTATTCAAATGGCAAGAAAATTCAGGAGAAGCACTCGACTATACATGAATTAGATAACGACAAAAAAGAACAAGAATCCACAGAAATCTTAGATTTTCTTAAACTTCTTAAAGAACTTCAAGAAAAACTTGTGGAAGTTAAACAGAGTGTTCAACAAGTTCAAAATAAGTTCGTTCACTTCGGAATATTTAATGAATTGGATAGTAATTTGCTGAACATCACTTTTATAAATAATGGTTTTCGCTTTATAGAGCATCTTCAGGATTAATAAAAACATCCAACGGCGTTTCCTTACTAGACATAAAAAATTATACACTACTACAATACATCATTAATCTCACATTTCTCATACACCTGAAACTCGATGGGAAATCTATCGCCAATCATCCGGCAATAACCAGTTTGATTGAATCACGTGTAGTACTTGAAAAGATTAAACCAATTGAACACAAGTTAAAGTATCAAATTGATAAATTGGTTAGAGCTGCGACCATTACAAATGATGATAATAATAATCAGGAGATTGAAAGAAAAAAGGATTCGAGGAGCGCAAGTATGGAAATCTTTCAATTTTACTGTATTAATTTTTCTTTTAATTTAAAAATGTCCGGATAAAGTGTATTTTTTTTACATCGAATTTAGTGACTGACCCATTGGCATTTAAACCGAATCCTGAAAATTTAATTTCCAAGGATGTTGAAGATATTGAGGATAACAATGAGATTGGAGGTATTTTTACTAAAATTATTATCAGTTATTACATGTACCACTCATCTTTAAGTTCTATTTTCATGGCAACAGGTGAATCTGCAGGCGTGTATAAAGCACCAAAATTAGCGCCAGTACATTTTGACGAAGATCAAGGTAACTAATTAACTACTTAACCTTTATCAAAAATGAGTCTATTCGAATCTAATTTCATTATTGCTATTATGCTTCTAGGAAAAAATACAAGACATGAAAAAGAACGATCACGGCTTCTAGTACGTGCCTCAAAATCACGCCTCATGCGAGACATACTTGCTGAATACGATGATCACCCTGAAGAAATTGATGCAACGGGCGGAGTAAATGAAGGAATTGGTCCTGCAGAAAAAGGATCAGATGTGCGATGGGCCGAACGTACTCATTATGAAGAAGAAAATTTTGTGCGTTTGACTGTTTCTAAGAAGGAGATGCGGAAGATGAGAGGTCTTGGTGCTGATAGTGTCAAAAGAATTCAGGATGAATTTGAGGTTCTCTCATTATTATTATTTACCGAGGTTATTAAGTTTTGTTTGTTTTTAGAAATGACATGGAATTAATCGTGGCAATTTATTGTAAATATAGTTATACATCAATTCAACGCGTGATGGGTTAATTGAGCATGGAAAGAAAAGAAAGATAGGTCGATATTCAGAAGCAACCAATGCAAAAAGATTTTCACGATCGAGAGATTAAGCATGAATCTTCTGTATATTTTTTTTATTGCTGTACTTTTATGTTATCTTAATAAAAATATTTCCGGAAAGTTTAATTTTGCATGATGCTGAATAGTGAGTTGAGGTTTTACTAACCTTTTTGCCTTTCAGCTGAAGAGTACAGCAGAAGATAATCAAAATATCATATTTTTATTATGAATTTTCAGACGAAGTATCTGGTCTGATCTTATTGTAATCATTTTTATAATTACGTATTAATGACTTTTTTTAGTTACTTCTTTACAAGGTTCATAAATCAAAACAATTATGACAGAATTATACTATTATCTCCCGAATTTTTGGCAAGATCAATCGACTTTGCATATTCTGTAACTCTTGGCAGGCAAATTAGATAATAATTAACTTGATAAATCTCTAATTATTATTAGCATTTTGTTATTTATTAAATGAAATTGCATAGAATTTTTTTTCAAATTAAAAAAAAATATAAAATTAATATAATTAATAAAAAAAATCAAAGATATAAATTATAATTCTCTTTTTTCTTTTCTTTTAAATTATAATTTAATACAAAAGATTTTAAATAAATTTTAATAAATTATTTTAAAATAAAATTTTATTCTGTTTTATTTAATTATTTAAATAATTTTATAATAAATTTTAATTTATTTTAGGATATTTAGAAAGTCATTTCTTTTAAGTAATTATATTTAATATTTCTATTCTTTAATAATAACTTTAATTACTGAAGAGTTTGCTTTTCTCTTTGTTATTATATTATAAATTATTATTAATTAATTTAAAATATATAATATAATCAAATTTCTTTATAATCTCTATAATTATATTTTTTTATAATTATCTTTTTTTATAATTATCTTTTTTTTATAATCATCTTTTTTAAGTCTTTTAATTATTAATTAATTATAATTGAAAAATCTTTTTATAATCATATCTTTTTTTAATTATTTAATTTTACTTTTTTAATTATAGAGAAATCTGATTATATTTTAAAAATTAATTATATTATAGTTAAATTTTTAATAATTAAAAATAAAATAATAAATATTTAGTTATTAAAACTATTTAAAAATTATATTAAGTTTATTTAAATAATAATTATATTTTTTAAGAAAAAATAATTAATAAGAATCAAATTATTAAGTTAAAAGATAATATTTTATTTAATATAAGAATTATTAATATTATACAGTTCTTAACAAAAAGAATAGTAGTGAATATTTTTGTCTATATTTTAATAATAAAGTATCTAATACTTATAGATATATTCTTTAGGATATTACAAATAAGATTCTTTAATAGTATAAGATATGTTAGTTTAATAAAATTTTGCAGAATTTTGTATCAAATGTGACAAATTAGGTATTTATATAAAATAACTTTGAAAAAAAAATTATTTAAAATTATTTTTAATAAGTAAATTTGAAAATATTTTTGTAAAAATATATTTTAAAATATAAAGAATATATTTATAAGTTTAAAAAAATTTTTTACTGCATATTTATTTAATAAATACCAGTTAAAAAAAGACTTTATTTTGATTAATTTTATAATAAATCATAATAAAAATCTATTTTTACTATATTTTACTATAATCTCTTATAAAAATTATTAAAATAAAGTTTTTTTATAATTGATATTTATTAAATAAATATATAATGAAATTTTTTTTTAAAACTTACAAATATATTTTTTATATCTTAAAATATATTTTTACAAAAATATTTTCAAAATTACTTATTAAAAATATT